TGCATTTTCCAAGAGCAAGAACATTTGCCGGTGGTTGATGCCCAAGCGCTTGCAAAATATGCAATCATGTCTTGTCGTCAGCCACCGCAACCTCTCAGTGAACCAAGACTACCACGATCCAGGTTCAACGCAACCCCACTTCTCCAGAGCACCAACGTTCTAATGCTCGGTGCGGCGCCCATGGCCCTCGATTATTGCGTTCGCAAAGGCAATCGATTTAAACAGCTAGCAACTTTAGCCTGCAGCACCTCTTCATACCAAGAATGACGCCAGCGCGGTCATTCGGCCTCTGAGATAACTGGCTGAGAAGCCTCGAGCTGCGCTCAGAACAGATAGCTGGCGCCATGCGCTGGCGTGCACGGAAGGGGCATGGAACTTGCGCGGGCAAGCGGGCGCAGTCGACAATTGCCGTTCGATTCCATTATCAACTCTTTTCCGCCAATCACAGCGCGTCATTTCCTTGGGGCAATGTCGGTTCGATGCGAGATCCGGCAGAAATCGAACTGCGTGGCATCATGGTCATTGTGGGCAGCGACGGGCCGCCGCCGCCGAAGCGGGCCAAGCCGACGACCAGCGCGGGCTGCCTCTTGACGGGCGCCTTGGCGCGCCACGTCATGGGCTACCTCCGAGATGCGACCGACGTCAAGCGGTTCCTCCAAGTGCTGCCACGACTGCGCGACGACGCGCCGCTGCAGAGCCTCTTGGCCTTGCTCCAGCGCGTGCACGACCCGTCCATCATCTGGCCCATTGCAAGCCTCTCGGACCTTTACGCTCCTTCCGCCTCTTGTGCCAGCGCGAGCTCTAGCTCGAACTTGCGTGCGTCGGCAGGTCTCGACCGCCTCGTGCAGTCGGCGCTGCCTCTTCTCCGGCAGCTCCAGGTGAATGCGTTTATCGCGACACCGCCGCTCGCGCGCTACGTGCCACTCATGGCCAATACGACCATCTCGGCGCTGCTCGGCGACTTGCGCGACTTTGAAGCGACTTACGGGCTCTGGGCACCACACATCACGTCGCTCTCGGTGACGGACCCGACATGCGAGACGTGGCCGCACCTTTGCCGCACACTCGCGCTCTGCCCGCGGCTACAGTCGCTCACGTACTTTGTCTGGCGTGGGTCCGAGACGTACCGGCACGTCAAGATGGACGTGTCGTGGTTCGCTGCGTACATGATGACACAATCCAGCCTCGCGACAGTCCATCTCACGGGCCTGCCACTCACGACCGAGGCAGCGGCGAGTGTCGGTGACGCACTGCTGTCATCATCGACGATGACGACGCTCAACGTCCACGAGATGCCGCAGCTGCTTTGCGCGCTCGGCGCCGCGACCCTGTCTCTTTCGCCACAGCTCACCTCTCTTCACATCACAGCCGTCGACTACCACGCCGCCGACAACATTGCAAGCGTGGCCCTCAAGCTCCAGACGTCGCGCGTGCGGACGCTTGAAGTCCGAACTGTCGCACTCTGCAACCTCACGCGTGCTGCCACCGCGCTCGCGACAGCGCCGATGCTGCAGTCACTGACGCTTGTTAACGGTGTGCTGGGCGATCTCACGCCACTGAGATCCCTGCGCCATCTGCACTTGTCGTCGATGCGGCTCTCGCGACGAGCGATCACGGCCATTGCGCACCTCATGGCCACATCCGAATGTCTCGTCTCGGTCAAGCTGGACAACTGCTACCACGATCAACACGACGACAAGACGAGTCCGTTTCTCGCGCTGACAGCCGCCATGCCTGTATTTTTTGGTCGAGCCGGGCAAGCGCTGGCCATGAGCGTGCATGACGTGGCGGTCGCCGCAGGCTTGACCTCGGCCATGCACAAGATGTCGACGTCCACGACCGCGACGCTGGAATTGCATGCGACCGCGCTCCCGATGACGGCGCTGCGAGACTTGGTGAGTGCAATTACGTGTGGCACGACGCTGCGCCTGGTGGTGCGCACACCGGCAAGCGCCGAGGCGTTGCTGGCGCATGCAACGCGCCTTCAGCTCCGCGCAGCCAAGAAGCCAATGTACGAATGGCACTTCGGGCGACCCGTGCCCGACATCAAGTACCAAGTGGCGTGTTCACGGTGTTGATTCGAGTCTCATAGATTGTCTAATGATGAGTAGTCTTTTGTGTCTTTTGAAGTGTGGGGATGGAATGTCCTTCCGGTACCTTATAAATCGTAGTAGCTAGAACCATAATGTATGGTGTAGGAGTATAATACAGTATATGGAGGACAAGAACGCGTCGCAGCCACCGCAAGGTGGACTGTGTATGGTTGTGATTTAACACGGAGCTTTCGTATGGCGCTGACCGTCCATATGCAAGGAACGCGAAGTTGCTTGCTATGAAAACGCTGTCAGTCTAGTCAAGTGTTGATCTCCACTCGTCGATAGCTCTACTTGAGCGTCGTGTCATTGACCGCTAGTCATTCGTGGTGGATAAGACGCGAGAAGGCAAAATGGAAATGTTGTCATGACGGACTACCGATTCCAATCTTGCTATTTCGTTGTGGGCACGGAAATTCCTTTTTCTGTTGGGACCAACTCCGAAGTTTACCGAAATGCGAATTGCTGGCCAAGAAACGGTTCACGTGGCGAACGCCTATCCGGAATTTCCGATTTTTGTTTGTAGCCATGGTACGTTTTCCTGAAAATCCAAAGTATCCCGCAGTAAAGCGTTTACTCGTACTAATCTTTCGCCTTTTACTAAAGATTACCGTGGACGTCTTACAAACAATGCGGCTTCACCAATTTCTGACCTCCCTCTGGGAGGACCCATCGACTTTACGTTTTCTCAAAACCACGTTTTCTCAAAACCACGTTTTCTCAAAACCTTATCCCTTGTTTTCACTAAGGTTCCCTCGACAAATAGCGATCTAGCATTTCGACTACAAAAAGGTGACGGTAAACTCATATGTGTGCATGTATCTAAGTGTTGTTTTGACGCGGCGAGTGGGCGAGCGACCTCTCACCGAGTCGCAACCAAATCGAAAGATCAAGCGAACGTGAGGTGCACTTCATATTACCCAATCTTGCGTTGCTGTATCCGGAAAGATCGCGAACGTGGGGTTCGCACCGTATCCGGATGACTGTGCTGACGCTTCAGGCCCTGCACCGTGGAGGAGCATGAGACGACAGTACCTGGCGCGATACGACAATATGTATGTTGAATTAGGCTATATATCGTGTGTACTAGAGTCCCACTCTCGATAATGTCGTCCAGATTTTACTCGGTGGTTTCCCGCGCACCATCGACAGGAAGTGACCAACATTCGGGTACTGCCCGAATTTTGGCCAATGAACAGTCACCAAGTCTCGCCATTGCAGCATTTCGCCAACGTGGCAGCATGGGCGACCTTGACTGCGCGCCGATCGACGTAGCCAAGGCGCCGTACGAAGCCGCGCTCGAGTGCATCCCGCG